TTATAACTTTGATTATGCATTGCGGCTTTGGATCAGGAGATAGAACGGGTCGGCAACAAATCAGAAGTTCAGTGGTTCAATCCGTTCCAACATGGGTGACACAAAAAGTGCTGAATATAGAAGCGCTGCATGAATGTGTGTGTGAAGGGCAGAATGTGACTTGTACTCTCAAGTGCTCTGAGTGCTCATTACAACTAGAAAGTGTTAGATGAATGCAGTCTATTCACCATTTTACAAGGTTAAATTTGGAAAAAATACAGAAATTGTTAATGATGAGTGACTAATTTCCCGACTCCAGGTATATACTGCTAATCCCCCGGACCCTGGTCAGCAGTGACACTAAAGTTAACAATAACAAAAGTTTGATGATATCATGTAGCAGCATGGGATCTTTGGAGTTGTTTTCACCACCATTTTCATTGCAACTCTCCACAAGTGTCTCAGTGAAATAAAACACTGGATGGCAAACGACTTTCTCCAGCTAAACCTCACCAAATCCAATTTGTCTTTGGTCTCAAGTCCTGCACGAATGATGTCATGGCCAACCTTGGTGAACTAACAGCATTTAATAAGTTCTCAGCTACAAATCTGTGTGTGGTCCTTTGCCATAACCTAAGCTTTGAACCCCACATTAAAGGGGTTGTGCAACTGTGTTTTAATCACTTAAGGGACACAGTCAAGGTTAAATATTTTATCTCACATACAGACCTGGAAAAACTCTTTCAAGCCTTTATTTCCTCTCGCCTCAATTACCGTGACTCCCTTTACTCTGATATCAATCCACCGTCTACAGTTCATCCAAAATGCTGCCTCTCTGCTTTTGACTCAATCCAAAAAATGGAACCATATCAGCCTTGTTTAAGCATTCTTGCTCTGGCCGTTTGTTTATTTTAGGATTGATTTCAGACTTCTTTTAATGGCTTTTAAAGCCAGGCACCGACTGGCCCCTCCCTTTATTTCCATCCTTTTATCTCCTGTTGAATGTTTACTATTCTAATTTTTTGTAACGTTTGCGCTTGTGATCCATTACGAGTGAGCAACATAGTTATAACAGAGACGGGCAAAGCCACAGTTATAGAGGATATGAGGCAATTAAAAGACGAACAAAATAAAACATCTTGTTACCTTGAATGACATTGGGAGTTTAAACATTGTTGGAAACATTTAAATATTGATAGAAGTACATAACTCAAAAAAATATAACGTAGGTCTAGTTGTTTTATACATTTTGGTAAAGAATTGTAACATATTTTATCTTTAAGTTTTGATTATTATTATCAGAACTAAACATAAATTTTTAGCAAAATTGATTTTATTCAAAAAATGTAATTTGGTGCAGTGAAAATCTATATGTCTGATAGAGCACAGCATATGTCATATAGCTTGAAAGATGAACTGAGGGGGGATATCACAATCCATGGGGTGTTTAGGATATATGCCAGACAGGACAAGGGAAGCATGAATGCAGTTTGTTAAGAGTGGACATTCTTCTTGTGCATTAGATGACTTATACTGTAGCTGCAACATAAAAATTGTATAATTGCTCAGAATAAAGTTCACCTCTATTTTGTAAACACGCACAACATCAGAAGAAGGAAGAATTAGAAGATGTGATAATGAGGAAAAAAAGTTGAGTGTACCTTTGTGCAAACACAGTCACTTAAAAATTTGAGAAATGTGAGGAAAATGAAGAGTCTGTGAATTCACTTCTGAATGCTGGAATTGGATTTTAATCATGCATATAATTGAATTAATAAGTTTGATGGCCACAAAGCTTTCTGATAACAAATTTAAATCACAGTGGAAAGACTTTCTGTTTCATAAAAGACGTTAACGAGATTCTACATCCCCAAGGACAAAAGAGAAAACCCATCAATGTTCTCAGTCTGAGTCTGTGCAACGACGACAAAACCCTTCTGCTCAGGAGAAAAAGAGAAACATCACAGAAATGATTCAAGTTGACTGCTTTGGCTATACTGGAGACATTATATGCATGACCATGATTCTCGGGCCCAGACGCATGATCCGCAGTTGAGGATGGCGGAGAGGGTCTTCGTGTTCTGAAGCCTATGGGACAAACCAACCCTGGAGCTGTAATAACAGCACAGGACGTCTCCGGCAAGAGCGTCTACGAAAACAGGAGATGAGGGTTAACGCGGTACAGTCCAGTGTGAAGCGAGACATCCGCTCTACTGTCCTTGAACCCCGGGGATAAGACAAGACAGTAACACAGTGGATGGGAGAGGACAAAGCACACAATAGGTTCCCATGGGAAGAGGCTGGTTTGCTGGTCAACAGAGGCCCGCAGCAGCAGCAGCAGAGGTTTCCCTTAGCTGTGGTTCTGATTGGAGGATTAACAGACATGGACACAGGGATAATTAAAGGAAACTTCATTACATCCCTAGGCCAGTTCAACTGGCCTAGGAATACGTTGGGTTGCATCACTTAATACAAGTACCATCGGAAATGAAAGAGAGCAGATCTGGTCGGTGAATGCAAAGAGAACACAATAAAGATAACTATCCTCGCTATCAGCACATGGATCAGATGAGCTGAATAGCTGCCAGTACCCACAGCCGGCCGGCAATCGTGTGCTTTCGCAATGGAAACTGTAACAATGTTATAGGTCACTTAGAAACTGAGGCTGAAGATGTTGAAGTGTGCAAGGGCGTAGAGCAGAGGGGATGCTCCGACCAGGGACGATGAGAGAGAGAGAAGGAAGCATATTCACTGGTAATGTCAAGTTAAAAAAGTCGTCCTCCACGCAGAAATGTGCTTTACTTTGATTATTTATCACAAATCTCACTGATGTATCATATTTAATCTGAGTTTAAGAGGTGTATATGAGTTTGAGCCATTTGTAGTCCTCTACAATAAACACAGGTGCCATGTGGAAATCTCAAATCTCAAATTCACACTGACTTTTGAGTGAACTGTTGTTTCCAGGCATCCACGTATACAAGGATGCTGAAATGGGGGTTCCCGGGGGGTTCCTGATGAGAGGCTGTTACAGCAAAGCAAAAGTTTCTGGAAATGACAAAAAAAACTTTAATATAATAAAGAGTAGCAGGTGAAACGCCCACCCATTATTGGTTTTTCATTTAGTGTATTTTCTGTGTTGCTCTAATTAACTGTGTTGCTCTAATTCAGTTGAAGAGTAAACCTAAATACGGCACACTGGTATTTTAATATAAAAAAAGTTATTGAGTTTGCTGTCAGTTGGACTGACACCAAGACTGGTGTAAAATGTTGGTCATTCAAATGAATGCAAAAATCCCACATATTGCACTGCTGCACTGCTGCTCTGCATTTAATATGACATCATTATAATGTTATTCCCAGCACCCCCAACTGTGACTCCCAGCGTCCTTGTCCACGTAGATTCTGGATTTTGTTGTTTGATGAGGAGTGACTTCTAATGATTTCAGGCCAAGCAGATAGTTCAGGATTTTATATGTTTAGGATTTGAGCTATAATATTTGCCTTTTCAGCTTTTTGCTCCAAAGCCAACATGTTCAGAGTGAATGGAATTTTGCTTGTGGCGCTTAAAGCACCAACAACGTTAGTATAGTTCACAGAAAACACTTTGAAGCGCAGCTCTTTCTTCATTTGGAAGCAGCTCCAATTAAAACTGTGAGGTCTGTGGATTATCCACAATAACTCAGACATTGTGTTTTTAAAAAGACATTCTGAAGAGAATTTTAAATGCAATGCTCATGGCTGTGAACAACCTCAACTCCAGGTGAGCGGATGATGAATTCTCAGAATAAATATCTAACAACAGAATCAGAAAAGAATCACAAATACTTTACTGG